AAAAATAGTGCTGCGCCACCATGTGGCGCACGCAAGAAATACACTGGCCGTCCGCTATGGGTTAAGCTGTTCCGATTTGACGGCATTGAAGGAAGTTATGGCTTGTCAAAGAAATAAATTACCCGTTACACTAAAAATCTAGTGGTACGAATAGATCGAGCTCTACTATTTGTTCTTGTCCGCATTTCTTGTCACGCAATACTACACTATTAACAGTGCTGACAATAAAACTTTACTCTTTGGTAACAGAAAAAAAAGAACCCATTAGAAAATCATCAAAGATGCAATTATCATCGTGAAAGAGCCGACGATCATCGCCAACGACATTAGATAGTTGGTGGAGCCTTTTGTGGCGTTGCCATGAGTAGTCGTCCCCTGTGTGTCAGGCTCAGGCGATGTATGTTCTTCCCTGAAATTTCAACATTTCAACTCTATCCCACCGCTGATTGTGCCCTTCTGGCGACGAATCTGGAACGGCCCGGAGACCGGAAAAAGGGTACCCCCAGGAGGCCCGTCGCGCGGCAAGAAGGCGAGTCAGCGGACGAGTCCGCGCGTACTGTAGGGATTTCGCGTCAAGTTAAATAGAATGTCCATTGTACGTCCTACATCGCTCACGCGCTGCGACTCGTCCGCGACTCTGCCTTCTTGCCGCGCGACGGGCCTCCTGGGGGGGTACCCCCGGAAAAGAAGGCTGCAGTGAATGTGAATGCTAAACTGTCGTCTAATTGTACCCTTACCTTCTCCACTGCCCATCCTAATTTCATGAACACCACTTTTATCGCAATTTTTGCCTTCGAATGAGGTAGAAGAAGAACTCATCGAGGAAGCATGAAAGGGTGCCATTGACAAAGATTTGACAGCGAAAAAAGGGGAACTCAAGCGATAACTAAAGTCTAGGGACTAGATATGAAAGCAGCGATTGGGCTCGAGCTCTTGTCGTTTTGAGCTGTGAATGCGTGCTTGTCACAGTTCAAGAAAGATAGCTACACGGCTAACGATAGGGCCAGTCAAAAGTGTCCTCAGAAGGCCTAAAGACATGCTTCTTGAAGTTTATCCCTCTCGGTACTCCTGAATTCCACCACTTCAGCAGAGCTCCTTTCAGCTCCATAACGTTACTCCTTTTCCTCGTTCCTCCTGCTCGTTTTTTCCTTCCTTTCTTTTTCTTACGGATTGTTATAGCATCACGAACCTCGGTAAGGATGTAGAGAACTGCTGCTGAGGGACTTCACCGTCGCCAATCTGTAGCGACACGGTCTTTGTTACTACGATGTCGTTGGGAGACATCGTCCTTGCGACAAGTTCACCTGTTTCCGACGTCACCATCGGGACACCGTCCATCGGATCGGCGTTCGTTTCGCTGAAAGGAAGCTGAGGAAAAGGGAAACAGAAAACCAGAATAGAAAACTCGGTCGTTCCGCCGTGAAAAAATGAAACAAATTTGACAGCTAATAGGGTTCGGGAGCATGCATGGAGTGCCTTGGAAGATTGCCAAAGAAAGACAGAAAAGATAAGGGGAAAGGACAGACATATTGCATTCCATGCTGGTTAAGAAGGTACTTCTCCCAAATACTTTTCGATTTAATGTGAAGTTATTAAGCCGGTACCGGAGCTATTTGAATTTAGCTTATTTTACATGAATATATGTAATTATAAATGCAGTTATGCTCAATAGAAGGCGAAAAAATAAAGAAGAGGAAATAGTCGTTTTTCTCCGAATATTGCTCTGCACACAGAGCTATAGAACAATTCGAACTTACTTCGGTTTCGCGGTATCGCCTTCAATTAGTTTAGATGTGTCCAGCGCTCCACCTAAACTGTTGCTATTATTATAGCTAATATTCAGCTTACAAAAACTAATAAGTGAGAGGGTTTTAGGTCATTCGAAAATATAAAAATTTAGTGAGCGCTGATGGCTTGGTCTCTATGGCATAACGCGCTTTGGCGGAACAGTGTCGCAACTGCACGCTTTTATAACTGGAGCTTCCTGCGGGATTGGGGGGAGGGAGGGAAGGTCATTCAGTGGCCAGCGTGCGGGAAACACAGCTACATAAGTGGGAGGCTATCGCTACTTGTTTACTTGTTTATTTATTTATTTATTTGCGCATAGGTACGCCAACAACACAGCAATGATTTAAATAAGCCCAAAGCAATCATATTCGAAGGAAAAAAGAGTTAGGGTTTTGAAGTAGGAGCTAGATCGCCCATATTCCTGGTGTCTGCCCTTGTGGAGCAAAGAGGGGGGGGGGGGATCGCGCGGAGGTAGCCGATCCGTCTCTTATCCTATCTGCTATATATTTACGCTAGATTTCCAATAAATATCAAAAAACGAGGAAAGAAGTGCAGTAGTGGCAAGTGCCGCTGCTAAGGCAAAACGCGCGGTCTGGAGATCGAACCCTATGTCGAGCTTCGTCCAGGCCAACCAAGCCTTTCATCCCTCTCCAGGGGTCGGGTGCAGCAAGCCCCAACTAGAGAATTCGATGAATTTTCCTACCCACTAGGATACAAATCCCCGAGTTGAGAAATCCCCAAGGTTTGAAATGTCCCCATGAGAATCGGTAAACTTGGTACCAAAAGTTATCTGGAGTATACAGCAACCCGAACCTTTGCTAAGCATAATTGCTCCCTCGTAATCATTGTATATCGGGCTCATCGCCAAAGTCCCACTACATCTCGAATGAGCTCCGAATGGTGACGCTTCTCAACACGGGGTTTGAATCAATCGCCGAATGCTTACCCTACCTTTATCGAAGAAAAATCCATAAAAACCATTCTTTTACTAATCCATGGATTTTATTGCAATCCAAAATGTGTGTTTTAGGTGGATGCTACAAAATCACTTCGTGTCCACCGGAAATGCATTTATTATTGACTTCATGTACCTGATGGTTTTTCACCACCGCCACCGATCATCGGTGTGAACTGATATCCTTCAAGAATTCGTGAGTCGGTAAATTTGAAATTAGCGATCGGTGATGTCGGATCGTTGCATCGATCCTTAGTCGTGCAAGCGCACAATGTCCTGTGCTGCCTCTCTGAAAAGTAAAAAAGAAACTTTTTTTTCTATTTTTCCTAGTGGTTTATACTTTGCAACTTTTTTCTCCAGCATCAAACAAAAATAAAAGTCAGTTGTTACCATTCCTCTCTGGCTTGGATCGATGTGATCTGATCTGTAAAGCTAGGTAGCCTTTGTAACCCTCGAAGTCTTTTAAATGATTCGGATTTTGACTTGTTTTGTTTGTTAACTGCTGTTTTTGGCCGCAGTTCGCCTTGCGAATGTTTCACAAGAATGCTGGGTTGTGAACAAAACTTTCGCCCCAGGCGGGACTCGAACCCGCACCTCTCGCTTTCCGGGCAAGTGCGCTACCAGTTACGCTACCGGGGCACCATTTCATCCCAACTCAGCTTCTTCATGTAACGCTTGTAGCGCACTTGCCCGGTAAGCAAGAGGTGCGGGTTCGAGTCCCGTCTGGGCGAAAGTTTTGTTCACAACCCAGCATTCTTGTGAAAAATTCGGATTTTGTCTAACTCTACCATTCTCCATTTACACTATCATCAATCGTTTGTGGTTTGAAAAGAATTTCGAACAAAAAAAAACGTTTTTCAAGCCTTCTAAAATAAACATAATGAAATAATGTTCCACAAGAATGTGGGTTGTGAACAAAACTTTCGCCCCAGACGGGATTCGAACCCGCAAGGCCAACTGCGGTCAAAAAGAGCAGTTAGCAAGCAGAACAAGTCAATAAAAATAATGAAAGATCTGGAGTGCAACTAACAGAATAGTTCGATGAGACAGCAAGCAAATAATTTCAAAATTTCAAATCTTCTTTTCAATCCAGCTCTGAATTGTGACCTTATCTTTATTCTGATTTTCTTATCGACCATTATTTTACGGAGGGGTTGTGGGCCATGATTGGCATTAGTTTTTTCCCCACTTTCAAAGGGTTGACCCAGGATGGAGATCATCGGTAATCGAAACTCTGCACGCACCTCCCAAACGTGGCATACCCCCAAATACTTTCAAATCTTCTATACTTCGTCATTCTCACTTTCTTCTGAATGTTTTCATCTGTGGACTGCTCTCGCGTTGGTGCGTTTTCTCTACTGTATGTGATTAACAATTTGTTGGATGGTGCTATACAAGTAGGGTGGGCACGCCGCATTTTTTGAACAGAAATGTATGTAAGTGGGACTGCTGCTATACTGTCACGAGAATCGGGGAATTCGTGAGCCAGGGGGAGTGTAGCCAATCTAGGGGGTGGGGAGTAAGGCGTGCCCACCCAACTTGTATAGAACCCAATTCTTTTTTGGACACTAGATTATTTCTACGGAATTCAACCTGAGCTTGCTTATTGTTTTTAATTTCCCACAGTTCCTGTTGATTTCTCTACAACTTGAAATTAATTTTGATTTGTTTTTTTTTCTCTATGTTGTGTTCTGAAGAAAACAAACAAATAAATAAACAAGTTGACGGGCACGGTACCTGTAACACGCGGCCGGTCCTTCTTTGAATGTATCACCCTCATATAAATTGATACAACCGGCGATTATTGTTCCATTGTAGTATTTGTTCACAACTGGAAATACATGCCTTTGAAAATATTATGCTATTGAACAAAATCAAGGGGTCTATCCAATTGGTCGGGGACGGGGGCATATCGTCAATAGCTCGTGCGACAACAGCAATCCTACTCTTAGCAGGGAGAAGAAGTTGCGAAGTGTATGGTACCATAACGTTTTTCGCTTTCATTCACCCCCCCCCCACCTCAGAGCAGGGTCAACTGCAGTTTGGGCCAATGTCAAAGTTTCGATGGCTCCCCTCGTAAGGGGTCTCGACACGACCATCACCATCACTAGCAGCCCTGGATTGGTTTCCAATACGACCTCCCCTCGGTAATTTCGAACCTGGGAGCGGAGTTGGAGTGTGTGGACCAGGCCGATTTCAAAAGTAATTCCCCCCTTTCCCCCGCCCACACTATGAAATTTGATTCTGATTCAGCAACACGGCCCACTTTTCCCACTCAAAACAGCCATCGAGCGGGGGCAGGGAAATACAATATGTCTCGGAAAACGGCAAAAGTTCTAATTTTGTTCATTTTATGCTCATTTTTCGGAGTTTTTGTCAAAAGTTACTGCGCCCGGCAGACGCCCCCCCCCTCTCCCACATTCATGATTCCTTCAATTTCTTAACATACTACCCCTTTCCACATTTTGACCTTCGTCAACCCCTATTACGACCCCCTGCCGAAATCGTGTGTTTGGGGGAGGGGGGTCGACCCTGGTGAGGAGTGATTCCAGAATCAAATGCCACTGAAACAGAGATTGTGGTAAAGGTGGTGGTGGGGTGGTGAAGGGCTCCTACTGGGGACCCTTCGTAGGCTGGTGGAGGTGGTGAGGGTCGTGTCCAAACTGCTATTGCTATTACCCGCGAATACGAACTTATTGGTGCGAGATGGGCCGGCAGTTAGG